AAAAAAAAAATAGATCATAACAATTCAGAATATAATATTGTTTCTTACTATTCGTAAATCGTAACATTTGGGTTAAGTGCTGGGAATAGACGAATTTGACAAAAAAAAAATAAAAATTATAGAAAATTAATTTCCTTAATTCTATAAAAAATTTTTTTACAAAATATTTCATTAGATAATTGTCAAGAAAATTAATTTTTTATAATTTTTATTTTTCGTCAAATTCGTCCCTTTCCAGCACCTAGCCCATTTTTATAAATCTTTTACGTTCATGAAAAATTTTTCCTACTTAATGTTTCATGGTCTCACCCCACGCTTTAATTGCTTCACCAATAAACATGTTGTGAGAACGGAATTTAAGTAGATTTGGAATAATTTTAAGGTGGAATTTATTTTATATAAACCGACATTCTGACCTAAACTCCTAAGAAATTCCAAATCTGCTTAAATTCCATTCCTACTTACAACATAAATATTTAGACTATATAAGTAATTCGATCGAATTATTAATCTTGCTAAGAAATATAAGATTATATAAAATAAACGACATCTTTTCTGGTGTTATCTAATTTGATTGCTTCAATATTTGTGTTAGAACCCATAACTACTTGTCAAAATTCTACGTTCGTAAGACCTTATACATTGATTATAAGATTTTTATACTGATTTTATTTTTTTTTTTTTTTTTTGATGCCACAGTATTTATTTAATGCCAAGAAAATGAAGTTTCATAAATGCGATGGGATTCTAAAAGACTACGATACTTACAAACAATTTACTTGCAGGTTGATCAATTCTGAATAAGTTTCAAATTCTTTTTCTTCAAAAGTTTACTGTATTTCGCAGTCTAAACCACCTTCCCCTGTAAAAAACTTAATGGCTTATAAAGATATTTCTACGGCGAGTATTATGTTATGGTTCCGTATCATTTCACCAACAATTCACTGACAAGTTTATTTCACCGACAATACGATTCACCGACATTACTTTGCCATCCCTAGTTTCACCGACAAGTTTATTTTACCGACAAGTTATAGATACTTATTTTAGGGTATGTAGCAGTACTGAAACGCAGACGTCTAGAAATCATGATAGTACGTACGTACGGTTTATAAAAGAAAAAAATACATCAAATCCAAGTTACTTTTTACTACTAACTCCATGAAAAAGGACAATATTAGTACTCACCCTAATCCTAACCATTAAAAATGGTTATAAATGAGTGTCGTTAAAAGAAAACCCGAAAATTTAAATATGACTTATATTTAAATTTTCGGGGTTTCTTTTAGCGACACTCAAATATTGTACTGTCGGTGAAATAAGCTTATCGGTGAATCGTACTGTCGGTAAAATAAACTTGTCGGTGAATCATACTGTCGGTGAATGAAATGACGGGATCGATATATTGGTTATGTGCAATCTTGTTTATTACTTGTTAATGTGGTAATTGTTTCTATTTGGACATTACAAACTTAATCCGAGATACATCGTCGAAACATCCGCAGGGGGGTTTAACTGCGAAATACGGTACGTACGTATGTATTTTTCATTCAAAAAAGAAAACTTTCCAAAAATAAGTTTTTTGAAAAAATGGTTCTGTAGATCGCACCCGTATTATATCGTTATGTGAGTAAATTTTGATTTAGCGTTAGTATTAAATTCGGATATGCACGTACTGTACGTACCTGATATAAAGTATATAAAGTGAAAGAATTTCAATTTAATCACATGATCGCGCCATCGCTATTGTCATGGATTTAACGGCTGATGTCAATATCAAATGATAATCAAAGATTAGATTTAAGGCACGCACATACGTATGTATATGTATGCACACATGATAAACTTTAAAAATACTTAAGATCGATATTTCAGATAATTTGGTTTTTAATTTTTTATTACAAAGAAATTTTAAATACATTTCAGCGAGATCAATAAACAGAAAAGTAATAAACTTTCTACAATTATGGGTGAGATTTAAAGGAATACTTCTAAATATAACATAGTATCTAAGTAATATAAAACTGTACAAAAAAAAATGGTCTTGGTAATGTTTTGTCGATGATTGATAAAATTATTGGCCAACGATCTCGGCGTACCACTATTAATATAAAGAACATTAATTATGTTATAAATGTTTTAAACATTGCTACTCTCTGAACTAATTGATAATTTGTATACCTTATTATTTTCTTCAAAACCATCACCATCCAACAAAACTTCTTGGTTTGAATTGGAATGGCTATCTATGAACTCAATATGACTCTGAGTGAAGAGTGGTAGTTTGTTGTTAGCATGTTCCAAGATAACGATATCACCTATCGCCCAAACACCGTTGTTTTCATTGAGATAACCCGACTCTGTGGCATGTCGTCGGACGACCCAGTTACAATTTGAGTCTTTTCCGGTTGACGCCCAAACTATTAATGAAAACAAATAAGTATTCTCCATTAACGTTAACCATTTTTTACAATAAATTTTATATTATTATCGCACCATCACGTGAAGCTAGCTCGTTGGCCGCACACAGGTTCGATCGAGATTTTTCGTGACATAGGCCGATGACGGAATTAAAATGCACGGGATCTCCGGAATTTTTGTTTTCACCAGAAGGAGAGGTAACAATCCATATTTCATTTTCTCGAGGTTTCGATCCATTACAAAATACCTTTGAACGTAGGTACAAAAAAAAATATATATCTCATTATTACTATTAATTCAAGACTAAAAAAAAATTAAAACGTTAATGCATACTGTAGAATGTGGTGACCCAGGTGCAATAGGTTTATGTTCACCATGTGATAAGTATTGGCCGGTGACACAATGTTTGAGGGTAATTTTCGACCCACAACGAATTTGATGTAAAGGGTATTCATAAATGATCCCCTGGAATACTTTTATGACCCAGTCAAATTCTTCAACAGGTCGAAACTTGCTTGCTAATATATTTCGAATGTTATCATCATGCAAAGAACCTAACAAGAAAGATTTTTGTTCTTCAATGTTTGTAACGTTGGCGCTTCGACATAGCGAGAGAAAATTTGATATAAAATCAGACATATCAACGTTCGAACTATATTTTAAACGTCGAAGATTATGAAGTGCTGCTTGAGACATGACTGTGTAAGTTACATGATTTTTTAAAGCTCTTAAAAAAGCAGCAAAAGTTGATGTTTTTTCGGGAATAAAAATAATTGGATCAACTTTAAGTATAGCAAAAGAAACTATTTCTTCTTCATCGTCAATTCCATGAAGACGACAAAAGAAACGAATATCTTGTAGCCATGATTCCGGGTCTTGAGTTCCATTATATTTTGACGGATGAACGGTTACAGCGATAAGCGGTAATTTACACGAGTTTAAATTTGAGTCAGACATTTTTATAATAATAGAAAAAAAAATAAAAAATAGAAAAAAGACAGAATGGGAAAATCCTACTGAATGAATTGCTGTATTATTTATAGGATTTTTACCATGCATGCAAACAGTGAAGCAGACCAAATTGGTAAATAACAAATCAGCCGAACTATGAACAATGAGCAAAAAAAGAAAGTACTAAAAAGCAAAGCCTCTCATCACTAACAATGTCGTCCTAATTCGTTATACAATCGATTTTTTCTACAAATCAATTTTTTTTTTCATTGTTAGCTCCATTGGAACTATTCCTTCGATGATATCTTTTTAATCGACTTCTTATAAGAGTACAATCTATCCCTTGTTGACCGACCTATTTGGTTTACCGGCTTGGTCACGAGCATGATCAGGACTACCACCAAACAATTACGCATTAAAAACTCTTTTAGGTAAAACGCTCGTATCCACGTGTGAACATGTTTATAGTATTTCCTTTGTTTCTAAAAACTATCATCCAAGATTCAAAGTTGATGACGAATTTATATTGAAACGACTTTATCCCCTGCATCTCCCAAAACAATATTAATCTTTATTTTACCAAAGTTAACTAATCCGAGAATTAATTTTTTTTACATTACCGCAGCATTATTCATTCACAAGTTTAACTTTCATTATGTCATTCATTTCATTCTATTCTTTTCTTTTGTTGTTCTTTTTTTTGGGTGAGAAAGAAGGACTCATCATGCGTAAGCATAAGATAAAAGAGGTATTTGATCGAATCCGCTATGCGTTCATATACTAGAAATACCAAAATATCATTCATTTGACACGCACTACTACATATTTGCGCATATTATGCACTTACCGGTTGGCCAAATAACATTTATGGTTTATATATATGAAAAAAAATAATTCTATCAAGTTTCTATTGTTTGGAATAATAGAAATAATATAATGCTCAAATCTTTCACAGGCGTCTGTTTACTAGATCTTACAGGTAGGTGCATCTGTGGTCCCCGATCCTTCTATCACATGACTGCTTTTAAATAAATCTTCCGACTGTTCATTATTTCTAAAGTCTCGAGTTTTTTTTTTTTTCTTAATTATACATTAAAAGAGTAATTGGATTGATTAATTGAAATTTGGTGGGCCTGAGAATTTCTATTTTAATTCATTTCAATAAAACAAATTTGGATAATTACAAACTTGCTAACTTTCCAACTCCTTTAATAATGTTAAACAAATTAAATTCACTTACACAAAGTACACATACGTACGCAATTCGCCTCATCTCATTAACCTTATCAATTCAAATACAAGTTTAAAACGTAAAAACATAAAATGTTTTTGATTTCATATGTTATATATATTTAAATATTATCCAATATTATTGTTACTTATACTTTAATTTATATAAGAAAATAGTTCAATGTTATTATCATTCTCTAGGAAAACATTTCAATTTATCAGTCTAAAGTTTTTAAATTTTAGAAAGAGTATCGGTATGGATTTAATTGGGAAATAGTAAGTTTATTTAGTTTGTCGTGTTTATCGTTACGTCAAATTTATTTCACTGAATGTAGTCTATTAATATACTATATTTAATGTAGTTCTATTAATATACTATGTTTAGATTACACAGATGGAATGAAATAAGAAAACAGTTTCACATGTCCTTCATAACAAATCCTTTCGGCCATTTGATTCCTCAGAACTTTTCACGAGAATGGTTTCTTATTACCAAAATTAATAATCATTTTAATTACTTAAAAAAAAAAAAAAAAAACATATATCTCGGATGACCAATATTAATGGGATTCATTTCGAGTTCGTTATTGTTAGGTATTGATTAAGTGTTGTTTTAATGAGAACCATGTGGGTGCATGCAAATGATCAAAATATTTGTTCTTTCGCTGATCTAAACTTGGTAAGTATCTATAACGAATTTTTATTGCTAATAAAATATACCTTTTCGGCCCTGTATTTGTTTATACGCCGATGCTGGCTCCGTAGTTCCGCACTCTTATTTAAAAAAAAACTTTTGATTTTCACGTCTCAGCTTAATATGCTATTTACCAAAAAAATTTTCCAAAATAAACTAGTAAGGCCCATCTCTGCATATCTTTTCTACGTAATATATCAAAGCAAATGTAAAATTCACAGATTAGGAAAACAAAAATTTCAATAACGCTAAGGATCATTCACCTGAAATTTCAAATAAGTATATGTCTTGTTTTCCTAATCCGAGGATTTTTCTTTTAAAAACCGATACGTACGTACGTACGTACGTAGTCATTTATTTATTTATTATAAATGCGGCATGATTGTAAAACCTCTATTGTGCTTACAAATAACTAAATAAATGTTAGTAAAAAAAATATATACCTTTATGCTGAAATTTTAAACATTGTAATTTTGGTCAAAAAGTTGATTATATATATAAATTAATTTTTTTAATTATAGTATAAAGCAGCATAAAATTAACCACTTTTATATAGCTTTATAAATACTTTTTTATAAATATATACTATATATATATATCATGGTTTGGTTTGGTTTTGAACTTGAAATTTAAAGCTGAATTTACTTTTTTTTACTTATTAAAAAAAATATATATACAGTTATACCTCTCTCTAAGTGCACACACTTTCTAAATATATGGGCTAGATGCTAGAAAAAGGGCTGAAAATGATAATTTTTCAAAAGAGATTTTTTTATATAAATTATCTTAGAATAAGATTAGAATCATTTTTTACTTAATATACAAAAGTAGTTATATTAATAAAATTTTGCAGTATAGCTTTTTAAAGTTTATATTTTCTTATGATTTATTATTAGATTTATAATATAAAAATTGATTTTTGTCATTTTCGGCTCTTTTCTTAGCATCTAGCCTATATATTCAAATTCTGATCCAAAATATAGTCAGGTTTTTCTAAGTATATATCTGTGAAACCATATCTTAATAATGTGCATTTAGAAAATAAAAAAAAATATATTTATAATATTTTTGTTTACTGGCTAAATCAATACAAATAAATAATTTGTATATAATAGTAAGTATAGAATTAAAATATATATAGATAATTCTCATTAATATCAATTTTGTTAATGTCAATCTAAACTTGTAAAAAATTTAATTTAGACTATATAAATTTTATCTTTTTGTTATCAACTCTCATATATATCAATATAATTGTCTAATTCAAATAGATTAATATTAACAAAAATTATCTGTATTTGGGTTAAAATTTAAGAATATATTTAGAAAAATTATATATTTATAAAAAATATACTTAAAAAAATCTAACTATATATATAATTATAAGTTAAAAATTTTTATTTAAAGGTTAAAGTTGGTTTATATAATAAATTTTTTAATATTTAAAATTTAAAATATTTAATTTTTTTATATAAGATTTTACAATTTAATTAGCTAAATATATATATAAATTATGGGACCTGATATTTCCACACTCCTTTTTTTATTTTTACACCCTACTCCTAAAAATTAATATAAATTATTAGGATTTGGTTAGGTTTAGAGTTAGCAGAAGTATGGCAATATCAAAAAAGGATGTAGAATTATCAATTCTCTAAATTATATAATTAAAAAATAAATTAATAATATTTTATTATTTAAATTTAATTTTAATAAATTTTTAAAAAATTATAAATATAATAACTTAGTAAAGTAAGGTTATAAAGTAAAAAATAGAGAAACTCTTTTTACTAATTATCAAAATACAAATTTTTATAAAAAAACAAAATACAAAACTGACAAAACTTAAGAACAGTAATAGGAAGCAAAGCTTACATAATTAAAAAAGAAAAAAAACACAAAACAACATTTTGTTTTTTAGAAAACTGGAGTTAAAAAGTTAAAAACCAACAAGATATAAAAGAAAACTTGAAATATAGCAGTTTTTCATTATTTGTAAACAACTTTCTAAAAAAAATACTTGATTCTGTACTGTAGATTTGTTGACATAACACAACTATGTAATATATAACAAAAGAAAAATACAACAAATATATAAATCAGCATATGATAAACACAATAAAGAAAATAATAACAGTAGAAAAGCCAAATCACATAAAACTTATAGAAAAAGTAATTACTAAAATTATATAAATAATACAAATCAAAGCAGTTGCAAAAACTATAAAAAAACTCTTCTAGATAAAATAGATAAAATTAAAATAAAAGAATACAAGCAAAAATATAAAATATACTTTAACAAATATACAGAAAAAAAACTAAAAGAAAAGTATTACAATTTTATTTTGAGATACAAAATTGACACAATCTTGCTAAATGTTACAGAACAAAAAATCTTGATATTTTTTATTTACAAAAAAAACAATATACAGTCAACTCTGTTTATTCCGCAAAAAAATATACTTAAGGAATTTTATATGTAAAAATTTTTAAAAGTTCAGTTCTCAAAAAGTTATATATTGCTAATCTGAACTTTATAATAAAATTTACAAATATTTTAGAGCTTTTCGTTCAGTTCTCAGAAAATTTATTAAGTGTTCAGTTTAAAGAGGTTCAGTTTAAAGAGAGTTGACTATATTGAAAAACTAAAAAAATTATATATAGAGAATCTAAACAAATAGAGAAGAAATAGACAAATCAAGAAAACAGAAAAATATTACAAGAGCTAGTTAGAAAATTCAAGTTTAAAGCCAAAAAAATACAAGAAAAATAGCTAAAAAGAAAAAAATCAAAAATAGCTAATAAAGACAGAAACAAAGAAAAATATAAAAAAAGATATAAAAAATATCAAAATAAAGAAAGCTTTAAAAAATATCAATGAAGTAATACAATATAGAATAATTAGTACAAAACAAAGTATAAAATTAAAAAAATAGAAAGTATAAAAAATATAACAGAAATGCAAAATTTATAACAAGTATTAGAAAAGTTGTGAAATAAACAAGAATACTGTGATTTAATTATAAAATCAGCAATAACTTAAAAAATTTAGAATAAACTAGATTTAAAAACAAGTATTAAT